CCCCAAAACCCCAAAACCCCAAAACCCCAAAACCCCAATAAAGGTTTGTGCTATAGAATCATCACAAATAATAAAAAATGTCATTTAAGCCCTCGTAAAGGACTTTTTGCCAGAGTGGCTCATGACTTTACCCAAACAGAGAAGCAGAGATAGCTAAAGTAGCTCAAGATGTGTTAACATAGAAGACCCCTGACCCAAACTGAACTCTAAGCTATCAGAACATGTCTTAGTAGAAATTAAGCGCGTGGGACTGGCTTCCTCTCGAAAGGCTTGAAGTTGATGATATAAAAAGTCCCCTTGGCGATTTTTTGGATATTTTCATACTTTTTTCTCTTGATTATCACTCCTTTCATCTCTTTATCTTCCTTGAACAAGTGATTATGAAGCATGAAAATAAACTTGCCGATCTTTGTAGGGTATTCTATTGAGGTTAGATGAAGGTTGAGAGAGATTTGGATGAAGAATATGCCTTCTCTAAGAAATTTTGTGGGTAGAGATGTGTTTTAGTGCAAAATAGGAGTAGTATGAGTGGTACTTGAGACTTACCCATAGCCCATTGGAGATGTCTATATGGAGAAATTAGTTGGGAAAAGATTGATATTTAATGTAAAAGGAGTCAATACTGCGCAAAAGAACAAGACAAAGAGAGAATTAGCATAATTTATTTCTAATATCTTTTACTACATCAAGACTACTAATCATCAGACTTCCATCAGTCCTCTCTTAAAGCTCTTCCTTGACTTCCACTTTGACCTCACAATCCCAAAATAAAATTTTGTTTATGAATAAATCTCCCTCTAAGACCTCTAGCTCTTACTCAATGATATCGACACACTCATCAGTCTGTAGCTTGTGGAACATGACTCTCCAGATATCCTGCTTGTCCTTTGCTAAAGCGTTCAACTAGGGGTGATCTTACCATCCTTTTTCTCTTCAAATTTAGCTATAAGTTCCTTAAAGAACCTAGAGTTGACCATCTAGAGGCTTACGGGGTGATTTGTTTGTGAACATCCTGTTCGTCTCCTTGAATATCATTGGCTTCATTCTCATTCTCTCCTCCTTTCTCCTCCTCATTTGGAAGGTTTTCCTCAATGTAGGAAACCTCACTATGGGCTAGCACCAGAGTTGAGTTACATGCCTGGCTGATTTCCTATATCCAGGATCACAGAAGTCCTATATGGGCCGAAAGGTAGCCCAAAGACATTGAGAAGTTGGAACTTACAGAAGGAAACAGAGTTGCTGCATCCTCTCCAGTATGGATCTTGAAGTTGCACAAGAATTCTCACAATTTGTTAAATTCTGAATAACTCATAAGCTTTTGCCTAATATCTTCATTTCTTTTCTTAGCATCTTCTTGGATCTGGTTGAAATATGTGACCATTTCCTCACAAGGCGAAGTACCAGCTATGGCAAGGTCAGACCTGAGAATGCTGAAAGGATTCAAATCAGAGTTAATAGTGATAGAACTAATACTTCTAAGCTATCTTGGAGCACAGGCAAAGCGTGGTTGGTTGGTGATTCCAGAAGAGTTTTAAGGTCATTTTTGTAGCAAATTGCTCACAGAAATAAACATGTATCACAAAATACTAATGATGTCTCCATATAATGCTCATATCTTAGACTAAGGTAAGACGTTCAGCCTCATAGAATACTCTTATCAGCTCAAACTTCTCATAAAAAGGAGTAATAGCACCCGAATTCTGCAACTAAGTTTAATTAAAAATCAGCCAATTAGATCTTAAGAGCAAAATTACATAAATTTCCTTAAAATTTGCATCTAAGTCAGAAGGTTTACTTCATTTCTGTTCTCAGAATTCTGACAAAGATCGAATCTTGACGAAAATGGTTATAAGATACCCATTTTTAGTAAATCGGAAGAAAATACTTCAAAAAATGATAAGTCTGCATAAAAACAGGCTATTTAATTCTCCGATTGTGCAATTCCCAAGCCAGAAATTCTCGTTTAAAAGGAGTATTTCCCATTCTGAGGACTATGGGATCATAATGAGCATGCTAAGGCTCCAAATTAAGGGCAACATAAGTATGATTCATAAGTTTGGGTACTTACTTCCTTCGTATGTATCGAATTCCATCACCAAATAGGTGATCCTCTCGACCTATACCATAATTTATCTCTTCACATATATTTTATTAGATCGGAAATTTGGAGGAAAAAGCCTGTTATCCTATCACCTGGGGGTCATGGTGGAAAACCCGGCTCAATGGGAGGAAAAATTGCCAGAAATAGCCTAAAGACTCAAGCAGGAGTTTTCCAAGCGGGCTAATGTAGTTTTGGAAGTAAATAAAATGTAAAATATTGATGTTTCTGGAGCAATATGAGGAGCTCCTACTCCTCATATTGTATTACTTAAGAATATATGTGGTTAGGTTTCCAGAATACAGAGATGTTTATAGAGCCTGCTAACTGAAACAACAGTTACTAGCTTGTTTATTCCTTATTGGGTAAGGCAGAATCTGTGAAGCAGAAGGCTTCAATTTCTTAAGCATTCAAAATTTTCTAATTAAGCTGAAGTTGAGATCTTGGATGATACTAACATGTTATCACTTCAAGAGAGCCAGAAGTCTGAAAACAAGGTAATGTTCCAAAAAATGTGAAGTGTCAAAATGCTACATAACTATCTATTAGGGCCTCATTAATACAAGCAGTCAGACCACTTATCAAGACACTAAAACTCTCCTGAAATCCTTCACACAGTTGAAGCAAATGTGCGGTCTGTTAATAAATCCGTGTGGGATGCCAAAAGTCCAATTTTAACTAAAATCATCGATGAACGGAACATTTTTATCAACTTGGAAGCCAAAAATATAAGATGTACTCGAACTAGCCCTCATTTGGGACTTGTCTAAACAACGAAGCTTACTTTGATGCCTCTTCCTTCATCTAAGGAGTATCTTCTCTCGACTCCAGAGCTCTGGAAAAATGGGATTTGGAAAGGAGTCTTGAACCCGAACCATATAAACTTGTCACCTTCTGAAGAGCCGATCCAGTTCTTCGAATCGGTCAGGTCAGCTAGTCTGATTTGTTTCAAGTTCATCGCCATTTGTAAATTTATTATATATTAGGATTTCGATAATTTATAAAGCTATGGGGTTTTGGGGTTTTGGGGTTTTGGGGTTTTGGGG